CGATTTGGCTTTTACCAGAGAGAAGGTATACACAGGTGGTGCTTGATTTATGACTGTGACGGAGCCCCAGTTTTCTGTTGCTAAGCGAGACCGCTGTGAAATGAGATTCGCTCCCATTTTATGACCTTTTGCTAAATGAACCCCAGCAGTTGGGAAGTCAGTTAACACAGTTGTCATGCCCCTGTCAGAGTCTGAATTCGAGGAGGAAGCTGGACAGCTGACAGGGAGCGGGAGTGTGGCTCCGTTGGCTGTGGATGAAACTGGGGAAGGGCAAAGTCCAGCTGGGCAGAGCAGGGGAGAGGTAGAAGCAAGGGAGAGGGAGTTCAGAGGAAGAACCAGGCCCACCCCCTCTTCATCCTAGGGCAAGCAAGGAGGAATGGAGAAGAGAGCAACATGGGTTACTGGCTTACGGGAGAGGAAAGGGCCCTGATTCCCTTCATTAGTCACAGCTGGGAGGACAGTTGATAAGAAAGGCAGGCTGCGTGCAGCAGGCTGCTGGGAGCAAATGTGACTTTATCCTGTGTTGTTGTGGTGTATCTGTGTTCCTAGCGTTTTCCCAACTGTGTGAGTTTTGCCGTGCCTTCAAGTCTGAAATTCTTGCTCCTGCCCTGCCAGACTAATTACTTCAGTTTGGTTTGTTTGGACTTTAAGTTACAGTTTGTGTTGCTCATTTTTGGACTTAATTTTTTGCAGTCAAAGGCTGTTCCTGGGAGAGTTTTTCTCCAGCCAGAAGGTAACCTGGACATTTGGGGCAAAGTTGGAGATAATAAAGGGACTGTTCTTGTTTATTTGACTGTGTTGCCTTTGTGCCATGCCCCAGGTCATCAAAGCAGTTGTGAAGTGACTCTGGCTTCCCCGCATGGATTTTGCTTGTCTGAAGGTCACTGTCAGCTGGTGCTCCATTCAAAATCCAAGAAAGAAATACTTAGACTCTTTTAATCAGAGAAAAGATATCTTTTACTGGAAATCAAGTGGTAGCAACAAAAGAATTCTGAATCTGAGAAAATGGGCGCGTAAATCACATATACAAAGTAATGGCAACGTTCCCACCCCGAATAGTTCAATTGGTTCATCCAATTAAAAGTTGTGGATATCATCATGTGGGCATCTCCAGGTGGTGATGAGGCTTCTGTCTGTTGACCTTGACATATTTACAAGAGTTGCAACATCCCAGGGTCACCACATGATCACTATTTGAGCCGTGGGGGCGCAGTGGTTAGAATACAGTCGTGAATGCAGTTCGATTCTCACCAGGCTCAAGGTTGACTCAGCCTTCCGTCCTTCCGAGATGGGTAAAACGAGGACCCAGATCATTGGGGTCAATAGGCTGATTCTGTAAACTGCTTAGAGAGGGCTAGAAAGCACTGTGAAGCGGTATATAAGTCTAAGTGCTATTGCTATTGCTCTTCCTTTTCTCCCTCCCTCCCTCCCTCCCTCCCTCCCTTCCTTTCTTCCTTGGTGCACAGTGGGTAGAATGCTAAGTCTGCTCACTGCCAGGAGTTTGATCCTAACCAGCTCAAGGTTCGCTCAGCCTTCCGTCCTTCCAAAGGGGGTAAAAGGAGGACCCAGACTGTTGGGGGCAAAAGGCTGACTCTATAAGTTTAGTTTACTTTTTTTTTAATTGTCGCTGCACCTCGTACAACGAAATCAAACACCATCTTCAGTGCACATCATGACCACGACCAACTCCCTTAACAACTGTCTTGTTTGCAACAGGATGCTGGTCTCAATTATGTTTGTAAGGACTACCTATAAGAGGTTAATGTATGGTAGATCCATTTGTACTGAAGAAAGTTGGAAGTTATTCTTTCATTCCACTTTCTCTTTTTTCCTTCTTTTTCCTTCTCTTTCCACTCCCGAGTTTGCTTTTTTCTTTAACCCTCCCTTTTCCCCTAACCCCTCCATTTTTTGTCTCTTTTGAATTTTTACCCTCTTTGTTGAAACTTAATTTAAAAAAAAAAGAATTTTTGGAAATTCAAAAGCTAACCGCTCTTTTGTAATAAGCCTGCAATTTTCCTGCTCCTTCCTGGCATAGTTTGAGCCTGACAAATTCTTTATACCTTCTCTTTGGCGTTCTCTGCTTCAACAGGAAATCGAACCCTCGGTGTGTTTTTTGAAAAAAATCCATCAACTTTCAACAACCCACTGGTTAATTTGGAGAATCCCAGAATGGGAGGAGACTGGCCAATCTGGTTTTGAACCAGACGAGTGACAGTAATATTTCTAGACGCAAATAACAGGACATTGTACACTAAAGTTGACCACTGCTTCAGTTGGTCACTTCTAGAGACAGGATGACTACACATAGTCTTAAAAATAAAGATGAAAAAGTACAGTTCATGAGTGAAATTCATACAACAAATACAGAACTGTTATTTGTATGGCCAGCAATTCCAATGAAGAAGGACAGCTCATTAGATCCAAGAGAGGAGAACGCTAGCTTGATCATATGCACCCAGGCATTTTATTTGCAAAGGCAACGTAGGGCATATTCCCAAGGCAAAGACTGAACAAAATTCAAACATTTGATTAATGACCAAGTTTGACTAATGGTGTCGTTCCTCCAACAGTCCAATAAGATGGATTATGCAATTCAGATTTATGCACTCAATCAATCAACCCAACCCAACCCAATCCAATTCAGTTTACCCAGCCCAACCCAACCCAAGTCAGCCCAAACCAAACCAAACCAAGTGAGCCCCATCCAATATAACCCAATCCAACCCAACGCAACTCAATCCAATCCAACCTAACCCAATCCAACCCAGCCTAACATAACACATCACAACTCAAATCAGCAGAACCCAACCCAGCCCAATCCAATGCAGCCTAACCCAACCCAATCCAATGCAACCCAACCCAATTCAAGTCAGCTCAACTCAACCCAACCTCATCCAATCCAACCCAATGCAACGCAATCCAACAAAACAACCTAATCTGCATGTCCATCATGGACCAGCAAAAGCAATTTGGATCAATTTTCACCAAAAATTGTGCTGGGTGGCGGTGTGGAGGAAAGCATAAAGGTCACCAAAGAGAAAAATGTGTTTGCCACCTACCACGCTGTGAGGAGTTATTCTATAAATAGCCACCACAAGCGGAAATGACTTTTGTTATGCAAGAGTTAAAACTGCTCCGAGAAGTGCTTCCTTAATTTATAGCAATCGCATTAAACATGGGCTGCGCACCTTTGCAACTTCGATCTGGCAAAAATGCCAGACTGACTAATCTACTCCACATTACTCAAGGGAACCTTCTGAAGAATCTCTGGCTACTAAAGGTCCTAATGGAGGGAGCAGATTTCCCATGACAGCTTTCGCTCCCTCTGCCCAACCGGCAATTACAAAATGCCCTGAAGCAAAGAGAATTTTAAATCATCTAAATTGTGATTTAGCCTCTACAATTGACGCACATAGCATTTTGGGATATACTGATGGGAGTAGTTAATAAGTCACACAGGCCCAGTTCTGTCTACATATGTTCGGTATAGGTAGCTTATCACTTCCTTTTAAACTAATGACAAACTCGAGACATTACAGGAGTCTTAACTTGGGCTTCCTTGTCTCAATTTAAAACCTTCTGAAATCAATCTGCAATTACTTCTAGCAAAGGAAGGCCCTTGGACAAAGATAGGTAGAAATGCCGTGTTTTACACAACGCTCTACCTCTGAACTACAGGTAGTCCTCAACATAAGGCCACAATTGAGCTCCAAATCCTTGTCACTAAGTGGGACATTTTGTAAGGTCGCAAAAGAGGAACACATGACCCCAGGACACTGCAGTGGTCATAAATATGAGTCAGTTGGCTAAGCGGCTGAATTTTGATTACAGGGCCATGGGGAATGCTGCAATGGTTGCAAGTGTGAGTGCCATTGTATCTTAGAATGGTCATTAAATGAAACTGTTTTAAGTTGAGGACTACCTGTATACAGAACCACGTGAGGATCCAAGAAATAAAACTGCATTTGAATATAAAGCCAACATCTGAATATAAAAACCCTTTCAATTCTCCAAAATAAACCCCTTTGTAATTTCGGGCAGCAAGAAAGCAAAAGTTTATCCCCAAGAATAAATAAAATAGATCCATATGATTCAGATAGAATATTTTCTACATCTATTTCCTTGATAAATACACAGGGCTGTCCTTAGATCTGCATTCTAGCACTCTACTGAAATTCGAAGGAAGATAAGAATCACACCAAGGTTTTCCAGATATTCAGGAAATACTTGAAAAGGGTTCGTGTATCCATTTCCCAATTTTGCCAAGCAACGCTACTAACAGAAGGATGCAATTTTCCACCTGAAAATACTGTAATGTTAGAGGGAGGCAATCCCGTAGCTTTATATAAATACCAAGAAGATCATCTTACATATCCTTTTCTAGTCAAGAAATAACCTGCATTATATAGATTATATATTTGAAGAATGGAGGTTAGCTGTGAATGAGCTACCAAAGAAGAACTTAGAAGCCATCTTGTTAACCAATCAGAACAACTGTCTTAGGACCTGGCGTAGAAAAAATCTCTTCGAAATTGCTTTCTGATGGCACATACACAGAAAAAGAAACAGTGAAAGAAACTCGGTAAGTCTTTTTTTCATTGGTGTCCACCAAAACAAAGCAATAAATCTCTACTCAAGGTAGTATCTCTGTGACATCTCACATTTCCACTATTCACATTTGGGGCGTCCAACCTTGGCAACTTTAAGACTTGTGAACTTCAACTTCCAGAATTCCCCAGCCAACATGGAGAATTCTGGGAGTTGAAGTCCACAAGTCTTAAAGTTGCCAAGGTTGGATACCTCTGATCTACAGTAGGTGACGCTTCAACTGATTGTAAAGCCAATATTGCTTTTTGCCACCACTTTCCTTGCAAGCATTCAACAGCCAAGATCCCGTGACCTCCAAAGAGGTAATACAGATGGCTTAAAATCTCCTAGATGACACACATTAATGGATTCACCTTGTTGAAAATTTGCTGAGAAAAAAATGTAACACTTACTTTGAAGAGTACAAATCCTTCTTGTCTGCTGATCCCAGGCTCTGAAAGACAGGAAATCGTAACATTTAGTCCCATTTTCTCCTTAGGTACATGCAGAAGGTAAAAGAAGCATAAAAATAACAAGCATGACATCGTGCACATAGGTGGCACCAATAAGACTTGAGTTTTCACCTTTGGTTACTTAGTTCCAACCCTTCATAAGTCAGAAATAAATGGGAATGGTGGTATTCACAGCAATAGGAAGGAAATGGAACATCTAGACCAGGAGTGTCCAACTCTGGCAACTTTAAGACTTGGGGACTTAAACTCCCAGAATTCCCCAGGTAGCATGGCTGGTTGGAGAATTCTGGGTGTTGAAATGCCCCAAGTCTTAAAGCTGCCAAGGTTGGAAATCTCTGGTTTATATGCTTTAATTATGCATTTTTCAAGTGGCTGATGTCCCAAAACTCCTTCAACTAACCCAATCTCATGGCAAAAATTCAGAGTATATTAACTACTCGCTAGTCCACAAGAAAATAAAGGAAATTAGCATGAACTCCAGCAGGGACCTATTGCAAAAAAGAAAAAACGGAAAAAAGGAAGGGATTAAGGAATTAAATGGGGGAAAGGGAAGGGAAGGATTAAGGAAAGGGAAGGGAAGAGAAGGGAAAGGAAGGGAAAGGAGAGGGAAGGGGAAGAACCTAAGGAAAGAGGGCATTGCTAAATTCATGATTTGTATCTCAGAAGATTAAATCTCACCCATTTTCCAAATGAAGCAGAAAACAAGAAGGTCACCTCCCAGAGACCAGAAAATAAAATGGAACTCATGAGCTTGATACAAAGACAATTTCACACACTTTTGTATTTAATCAAGTACAATGTAATGCCTCTTCTTGGAAGTCTGGCTTCTTATAGGTCTCCATATGTGGATCCAACCAGAAAGAAAATCTACCACTTGGAAAAATCCTTAACTTTAGATTTTCTTAGTTAGGCTCCTATATTACAGTTCTTGCTAGCTAAGCAGAATCCCGTTTTGAGTCTAGAAATTCTGCACCATCATTTCTGCTACAGCTGGATCCATCCTGTGGGAAATGGGACAACATCTGTCTCGCACAATGCATCATCTTTCATAAATTCCACTGCAAATATTTTTCAATGGTTTGGAAGCTGGGAGTTTTCTCCCTTACTCTTTGAAAGCAAAAGGGGATACTGGATCCCAAATCTCTATTTAAATTCATGCTTTGTTTTCCACAAGCTTTCTGATTTGTCCATGCCAATCTGCCAATGGGGTTGAGAGATTCCCATGAGCTGTCCTTCCAAAACACAACTCATCCATCATCTCTCATTTTGTTAACAGGTGTCCTTATTCCCAAGTAATTTAAGTCTTTGATGGAATCCTAAATGGCCCAGTCAAAAAAGCTAGCATTTGCAAGGCAAAAACAGAAAATCCAGGTTGAATTCCACCCCCCCCCCCAAAGCCACCAAACTTGTATTTGAAATACAAATTAAATACGTACGTGTTTGCAAAGAACTCAAATTCACTGTGGATCTTCAGGATCAGTTGAAGCAAAGATGTATTCTGTGATCTTACATTTGGGAAGGTTGTACGGTAATCATTGTAAATTGGCAAATCCACCAGCATATGAGTAAAAATATACACTGAGGTGTCAATTTTCAAAAAACATTGAATTCTGCATCTGGATTCCTAACTTGCTTTAAATCATCTAGCTAAAGTGATGGCTTGAAGCAAGGTAGGAATCCAGATGTAGAATTCAATGTTTTAGCTAATTGAAGTTTGTTGAATACACCATCATTCAATGGATTCAAATATGGTAACCATGCTATGGTTCACAAACCACAATGGCTGATTTAATTCAATGCACCAAATTAAACCCAACATTATGGCTTTTCTCCTTCCATGTCCTCATCCCTCACTTCTCATGTTGGGTCAGCCAATGCAGAAGGAAGCAACCATTATTCATATCATCATCTACAAGCCCAATGTTCATCTTAGTAAGAGATAGATCTTGATGCACCAACTCCCTCCTACTAAATTGATATTTTTCATCCTTGGGAATTTTAAGACTCCCAACTCCAAGGATTCCCCAATCAGCATGCTGGAAGTTGACATCTAGACATCTTCAAATTGCTAAGGTTGAGAAACATTACACTAAATGATTTCTACTCTCATATTAGAACCAACTCCAGAGAGAGACATTTCTTGAAGGCTACTCTCATCTGCTATGATGCCACCATAGTGCAACAGTCCAGCATGCTTTTTATTTTGCCTTTGGACATAGAAAATCCTACAGCATGAAAGAGTCAACAAAGCTGTTGACTATTCATGCTTTTCTAGGTGGGAGGAACAAACATGGAGATCATAGAGAGAGAGAGAGAGAGAGAGAGAGAGAGAGAGAGAAAGAGAGACCCAACCTTAGATCCAGATTGTTCAAGTTTTCGGAATGTTCTCAAGATCTTTCAGGGCCATTCAAGCAGAGGTTTCCTCCCCTATTTTTTTTTTTTTCAATTAGCTGCCATACTCTTTGCATTTTCAGAATGCGGGAGAGAGATGAAGTTGGTGCTTGCTTGCTAGCAGCATGCTTGCACTTTCAAACTAATGTTGTATTTTCACATTATGGTTGCCAGGCAGCAACTACAAGACAATTCCAAAGGAGGGAGAAAGACACCGGGCAGAATACTAATCAATGGTGCAAATAAACTGTTCACCGGCTGAGATTCCCCTCCTAGAAACTGTCATTCACAAACTCAAGAACAAAGTCTCACGTGCAAAGTAAAAGCAGAAGGCGTCTTTCTAGACCTCAGGTTTCCCAAGCGCCAATATTATTAGACTGCAGATTAGATAAAACTTGGGTTTTAATGCTACTGTTCTTCTTCCTTTACTTTTTTTTCAAGAGATCTGAACTTTCCTGTGTACACATGCTACATGCAGCACATGCAAGGTAAACATCATTTATAGCAAGGGTCTTCAAACTTGGCAAGTTTAAGACTTGTGGACTTCAACTCCCAGCATTCCTGAGCTAACATGCCTGGAGGAGAAATTCTGGGAGCTGAAGTCCACAAGTCTTAAAGCTGCCAAGTTTGAAGACCCCTGATTTATAGCTATGCTCATTTTATGAATGCAATGAGCATTAGGGCAGATTCAGTAGAGAAGGATGCCATATTGTTCACCAACAATCTTCTAAAGCAGGGGACTCCAACCTTGGCAACTTTAAGACTTGTGGACTTCAGTTCCCAGAGTCCCTCAGCCAGCTTTGGGAATTGAAGTCCACAAGTCTTAAACTTGCTAAGGTTGGAGACCCCTGTTCTAAAGCCCTTGGAGGATGGGCCAGAGAGAACATACAGCTGAACAGCAAGGCATATGAGATCTTTCACCGATCTAACAACAGGTTAACAATTATGTCTGAAGCATCACGTTGAGAACTTGAGTTGGCTGAGTTCCCTGAGAATCCTATAGGCCAGTGGTCACCAACCAGTGGGGCGGAGACCACTGGTGGTCCGCAAGAAAATTTTGGTGGTCCACAGATAAATGTCACCCCTAAAGCACCCCCAAAGCAATTAATCTAGGCTGTGCAGGAACACAAGGCTGCGCCACCCACATGGCCCATGTGAACACAAGGCTTGCGTCGCTTGCATTGTGAACAACATGAGGTAGTGAGGGGAGAGGGGAAAGGGCGGAGGGGGAAACTTGCCCCACTTGCCCCACACACCTCGCCTGGCCACCAGGCTGCTTCTTTCCGCTTCTTCCTTCTTCTGCTTTTGGCTGCACACAAGGAAAACAGCAAAAGTCTTTCTTTCTCTCCCCCAAACCCCACCAGAAATGAGTCTTTGGGACCCTGCAAGGCATCCTGTTCCAAGGGGCTGTGCCAGCATGACAAGTCTCACAAAGACTCATTTCTGGCAGAGTTTGGGGGAGAGAAAGAAAGACTTCTGCTGCTTCTGCTGCTTTCCTTGCATGAAGCCAAAAGTCTCTCTCTCTCTCTCTCCCCCAAGGATGGAGCTGGAGACGGTATCCTGCGATCCCAAATAAAGAATGATCGACCGGTAGGAAAACAGGATGAGGAATTTTCCTGCAGACTTTTTTTGGGATTTTCCCAGGTCCGCGGGATTTAAAATTATGAGTTTGGCGGTCTCTGAGGTCCAAAAGGTTGGCGACCCCTGCTATAGGCAGTGTTTCTCCACACTTGGCCGTTTGAAGATGGGCGGACTTCGACTCCCAGAATTCCACAGCCAGCCATGGGAATTCTGGGAATTGAAATCCACATGTCTTAAAGAGGCTAAGGTTAAGAAACCCTTGTCTGTAGGTAATGTTTCCATAATATTTTTTCTTCCCCTGGACTAAACAGTAATTTCAGGCCTAGATTTGGTGTAATTACTGTTCTCTCACACACAAGCTAAAAGGCAATTGTTTCATCTCCCAAATTAATGCATTTAACTTTCATTTGGGGGGGACCAGGGACCAGGGACCAGGGACCGGTTCCATGCAGAGATTTTTCCACAGACTGGAAGGGTGTGTGTTTTTGTGTGCTCCCTGCACTCCGTGGATGGGGCTTTGCTTGTTTGTGTGGACAGGTTTCTGGCATGCCGTGGCCCAGTGTCGCTCCACAGTTGCGTGGCTGGGGACACAGTTGCGTGGCTGTGCTAGAGAACAGGTAGGTATAGTCATTATGTTGAGGTCCAAGATATTGGAATTCAATGAATTTTGATGCAATTCCATAAGACTATTCTGTAAATTCATGCTAAGCTTTCATGTATTGCAGATTGTTTCTATATATATTTTATTAAGGTTTTTATTGTCTTCTCTTTTTTCCCCTACTCTTTCCCCTGGTCTTTTGCAGTTATTTATATAGCTTTTTGAACTTTTCAAAGAAGCATCTGTTTCATTTGTGGAGAATTATACCCATCTGTATTACTGCACCAATCTTCGTTAGTGCATAAGCCAAAGCATATTTCAACAACAGATATTTCTGCCGTAAATTACCAACTCTGTCAACATTAGCTTTCTCATCTAAGGGGATTGTTATTAGCATCATCCTTGCTTTAA